AGGAATGCCTGAATGGGTACTTGCAGGAAGAAAAATTATGTTCCACAAGAAGGGCTTTTTCACAAATAACACTTGCATATTTCTCAACTCAAGAAGAAAAACGCTCCTGGGTGATTTGTTTGACACGTCTTAACTAACCCTTGACTCTATTCGGATGTAATTCCCAGCTGAGCAAAGGGTCATTTGTGTCCACCCAAGTCCTCAAAGTAGAGGTTACATAGGACTTCAGAGGCAAATAGGTCACATTCAGGCTCTCTGTAAGGGGACAGATGTTACTGCAGAAAAGGGAGCCACTTGGAAGGGAAAAGAGCAATGCTTAGACCCTGCACTTGCTTTGCATTATTCTCCAGGTTCTGAATGCAGACTCCTAAAATTGCTCTGTTCCTGAGCACTGATTACTTGTATATTTGCACCTTCAGAACACAAGCACAAAGCAATAAAACAATACAATTTAATTTGGCACAACTGACTGTGGAAGAAATAGTGTTTGACATAAACCAGATAAAAATAAATATTAGACAAATATATACCCGACTGTTGCATACTCAGAACTTCAGAGTGGTTTTTATGAGTTTATAAGTTTGGAAAACAAACAGTAAAGTCAGCTTTATGGCCAGGTTGCCAACCTTACTCATGCTGAATAGTACCTAACTTCACAAAGCACACAACTCCTTTACACGATGAAGAAGAGAGACTGTTACAAAATGTGAAATAATAAGGGTTTCCTACAGATGTTATGGGAAAGCTCAGTAAAGAACAGCGAGGAAAACAAGTCTTTAGCCATGCTCCAAATCACATACAGTTTTATGAACCAACTTCTCCTGAATTGTTTCTGGAAGTGACAGCAATCCAGCAAAGGGTGTAGTGGGAAAGACAACACACGACCCCATTTCTATTAAATGAAGAGATAAATCTCTACATAACATGCCTGCTGAATTTTTCTCAGTGGCCCTAGGAAACTTAATTTCTCTGCCCTCATCCAGCCTTTTCTACAAGATGCTTAAGCATCTGTTTTTAATCGTAAAAGTCATCATCAGAAAGTTATAACAAAAAAAAAAAAGAGAGACGACCAGTGGGCTAGCAGAACTAGCTGATTAATGGCCTGCTTGACTGTCATGCTCTAAATGGATTTTTTTTTTTCCTCAAACTCTGCTCTGATGGTGACCTTTCTGACACCAAAGATGTCCAAAACAACAGCACTACCATACCTTTAGAGCTGGGCAATTTCCAAATACCTATGCAGTAACCTCTTCCCTAAACACCTGCTAAAAGATAGCATACTGTGCCATCCAAATAATGTTTAAATCCAATTAATAAGCCCTTTCAAAATGGTCACGCACAAAAGGAAAACTGCTGTCCACTGTAAACTGAACAAAAATACCACTCCTCCTGCCTGGTAAGAGATGCAAATGAACTGTTTTTCCAAAGGCTGTATACCAAATGCATTTTCTTCCACATAAAGTACTTGCAGAAATCAGAAAAACACAAACAGGAAAATACTCCAATTTCGGCAGCACCTAGCACTTCTCCGAAATAAAAATTCTGAAAATTGACATTTGTTACACAGGTTTTTCCAAGTCTGCTACTAGACCTGATTTTTAGAGCTGAGCTTTTAATTCTTCAAGTAAATACAACACACGTATATGCACCCTGCTGACAGACACTGTCTCCTCAGGTCACTGCTTGATGAACTTCACACTGCAGCTTGGGGAGGAGCACACCGATTTGGAACACACACTCTACACCCAATCTTTGGAATATGCCACACTTCGCTAGGTACTTATTTGATGTTTTCCCTACAAAAACAAGAAGCAACAGACCTTACATTAGGGTCCTGCAGGCTGGAGGTCTTACTGGGATTTACAAAGGAGGTCTCTTCTTTCACAGCCTGTTAAAAGAAAGAGCCAAAGTTTAGCACAACATCCATACACTTATGATTCTACATCTATTCATTAAAAAAAAAAAACAAACCTGTAAGTACTCACGCAATACACAATGTTCAAAATGTCTATTCTGAACAGATTTAAGAAGCACAGTTACTCTTTTATCATCTCCTACTGCTGACACTCACTTTGAGAAGCTACAGCGTACAATTGTACAGTGTACAATCTGCAGAGCAGTAGTGTCAGGAAGAGATTGGGTTGCGATAAAGGAGGAGGAAAGGAACAGTGTTTCCCCCAGAAGGCATTTGAGCAGAAACAATAAATACAACTAAAGCAAACACACTGATGGTTGAGTTGTTCTTTTAATTAAAATAAATATTTATGCAACCTAATCAGACAACCACATCATGCCAACTCACAGCTTTTCATTCAGTCTTTGAAAAACTAACAGGAAAGTGGGACCCCTACATACAGTTACACTGTACATGCATTTCACAGAAAGT